CGTAGCTCGGTTGTGGGGAAGCGGAGAAGGCCTGTTTCTTCCTACTTGGTCCAGGATCGCCTCTTAAGACTCTGACGAGCCACCCGGACCCCTCGCAACCCCCACCCCAGCTCTGCCTCCCCTCCCAGGGAATCCATAGCAAACCGCTGCCCCCGGGCCCCAGTGTCCCACCTGCAGAGAATCGGCCAAGCTCTCCTCCAGCAGCACATTTCACACAAATTAATGTTTTTCCCAGTCAGCTTTCTTCAATATTCAGCTTCCACAACCCTGCATGATGATGGGGAAGACGAGAGTGCGGATGATCTTTTTTCTTGCTCTCCAGGGGCACATCCTTACATTTGAGGATCTTTTCTGGTTCCTTCCTTGCTGCCCTTCTGAGTCTCTCTGTCTTTTGATTTCTTGGCGACAGTCTCCGTTTGGACTGATTTGAGCCAAGGGATACAAAATCTCTCCGGCCCCTTCATTGTCAACAGAAAAGTTGTGTCCTCCTCCTGCAGTCGGGATTCTGGTCTTCTTAACATTCAACTGCAGTCTTGCTTTGGCATTTTCTTCTTTCACTGCCCCTAACAGCCACTTCAAGTCACTGCTGCTTTTCACTGGTAAGATGGTATCCTCTGCATATTTTAAATTATGGATGATTCTTCTACCAATTTTCCCTCCTTCTTCATCTGAATCTAGTCTGGATTTCTGTATGATACATTCTGCAAACAGATTGAACAGATAGGGGGGATAACAGACAAGAACGTCAGAAGAGCCCTCCCTGGGCTGGATCAGGCCAAGGGCCCTTCTCGTCCAGCTTCCTGTATCTCACCATGGCCCCACCAGGTAGGTGCCTCTGGAAGCCCACGAGACCACGAGAGACCTGTCTCCTGACACCCTTCCCAGGTACTGGCTGCCAATAATTGGTTTCCAGATGCTATTTAAAGTGGTAGCTCTAAGCTATAAAGCCTTAAATGGCCTGGGTCCAAGCTATCCCAAAGATCACATATCACCTTTTATGAGCTTATCTGGGTGTTAAGATCACCATGAGAGTCCTTTCTCTCGATCGCATCATCCTGGGGGGGGGGGATTTAAATGGGTTGTTGTGCCTTTGCTGCTTTGGATGCATTTTTGTTTTGGTTTACTGTGTTTTAAGGTGGTATTTGTTTGATCTTTTTAAGTATTTATATGCTTATTATTTTTAGCTTTAAACCTTGATTTTTCATGATGTAAGCCACCTTGGATCCCTCAGGGCTGATTTCTTTCAGAATGGATAGGTTTTTCTTTGCAGTCCAGGGGACTCTCAAGAGCCTCCTCCAGCACCACAATTCAAAAGCATCAGTTCTTCGGCGGTCAGCCTTCTTTATGGTCCAGCTCCCAAAACAACATACACAATACAAATTAAAAATTAAACCTTCCGCACCTGTACCACCTTCATCCTTGGGACTGGGTGACTGGTAATATCATTTTACAACTTTTATTTTTAATTTTTTTAAAAACGTATCATTAATTTCTAAACTCCACATTTCTTTAATCCAGTCTTCCAAGTTAATTTGTTTGTCACTTTTCCAGTTCTTTGCAAATATTAATCTTGCTATAGTAACCACCACTATAACTACTAACTCTTTTTGTTCTTTTTTTCAAGCAGTCATTCTTAATTATATTCAGGAGGGCAGTATATATATGTATAGGTAAAGGTAAAGGTTCCCCTTGACAATTTTTGTCCAGTCGTGTTCGACTCTAGGGGGCGGTGCTCATCCCCGTTTCCAAGCCATAGAGCCAGCGTTTTGTCCGAAGACAATCTTCCGT